TATTCAGCCCAAAATTATGGGTACTAAGGAAAGCTTGTTTAGCTCACTGAAGCAACCCACAGGCAAAAAGAGAATCCTGGTAGAATCTCACTGACTTAAAGTGCAGAATTGTTATAAGCCACAACTGAGGACCCCCAAAAAACAGTCACACTTACATCGTCTCTCCAGTCTTAGCCACATGACAAAGAAACTGATCCAGTATTGGACACACTTCCTTCTTCCCCCTCTTCTCAAAATCTGTTGGCATGAGAAGGACACAAAAGAAATGGTAAAAGAAGACGGGACAGAACAACAATTCACAATAGTTAGCTATTTGCTTTAGCTATCAGCACAGTTCCCACACAAACACTGTCGCGCTCTCACAACGCTCCGGCTGTTCCCAAGAGCTCCACCAGCTTTCCCAGCCCTGTAAAACACTTAATATTTTTCCAGCGGACAAACTGCATGCACCGGAGTATCAGAAGTTGATTTGCAACTTCTTTTGAGCAGCTACAGCATAGAAAGAGGCCGATTTCCTCAGGCTGAGCCCAGCACAGGGTGGGCTGGGGAGGGAAAAGGGGACAGGTCCGGGCAGGGCCAGGATGCGGGGAAGGGGCCAGGACAAGGGGGGGAAGGGGCCTGGATGCGGGGGGGAAAGGGCAGAAACACAGGGGAAGGGGGTGGGATGCGGGGAGAAAGGGCAGGAACGCGGGGGAAGGGGCGGGCAGGCCGGGCAGCCCCGAGCCCGGAGCCGGGGGTCACTGACGGCCCACGCTCAGCCCTGAGGGTCGCTGGGCAGCGGCACCGGGGGCTCCGTCCTCCCCTTCCCCACAGCGACCCCCGCGCTCTCCCCGCTCCGTGGGACCCCTCACAGTGAGCAGCCCCCTCCCCACGGCGCGGGGACCCCGGCGGGGGTCGGGAGGGAGGGACCCGCCGCCCTCAGCGCGGGGCGCTCCCCCCACAGGGTCTGAGGAACCCCCCGTCTCCCCTGAGCGCGGGGACACCGCTCCCCAGCACCCGCCGTCAGCCCCCGCCCGCCACCTTTCAGCGCCTCCTGCAGCCTCTCGACGTCCATGGTCCGCCCGGGCGATTCCCCCGCGGCTCCGCGCGGCTCCCCCGCCCCAGCCCCGCGCAGACCGGGCCGCGCTCGCAGCGAGACCCCGCGCTCAGCGACGCTCCAACATGGCGCCCGCGCCGTGCCCGTGCGCGGCCCCGCGGCGCCGCCCGCCGGGGGCGGGGACACGGGGCGGGGCCAATGGGCGGGGCGGGGCCGAGTGAGGGGCGGTGGCAGCGCGAGGGGCGGGGCCGCCCTGAGGGGAGGCGGTGGCGCGTGAGGGGGCGTGGCCGTGCGGCCGTGAGGGACGAGGCGGGAAAGGCGCGGGAAAGGCGCCGCTGCAGCGCCCGCCCGAGTGACCGCCAGGGAGGCTCTGGGGGAGGCTCTGCCCTTCTTCTCCTCTTGGCCGCGGGTTATCGCTCTCCCCATGCCGCCTCAGCCAGGCAGATCCGCGGGGAAGGGGATGGGAACGCGGAGCCTCCCCCGCGCCAGCCTCTCAGGGAGCTCTTGTGCCTTCCTCCCCCTCTCAGGCTGAGGGTGACTACGCGTCCCCCACGCTTACCAACCAAATCCCTGCTTCTGCAGGGACGTGCCTGTGTCCCTTTTATTGTTCAAGAAGATCACAGAATATCCCGACTTGGAAGGGACAGACAAGGATCATCCAGTCCAACTCCTGGCCCTGCACCCCCCAACAATCCCACCCTGTCCCTGAGAGCGTTGTCCGAACACTCCCTGAGCTCTGTCAGACTTGGAGCTGTGACCACTGCCCTGAGGAGCCTGTTCAATCCCCGACCACCCTCTGGGGGAAGAACCTTTGCCCAATATTTAATCTAAACCTCCCCCGACACAGCTCCAGCCGTTGCCTGGGGCCCTGTCCCGGTCGCGGAGCTGCCCCTCTGGAGGACACTGCAGACCCCGATGAGGTCTGACCTGTCTCCTCCAGGCTCAACAGAACAAGTGCCCTCAGAGACTCCAGCCCAGCCCTCTCAACTAACCGGAAAAGATTTCAATTCACAGCAAATCATCTTTTCCTTCCATTTTCAAAGGTGAAACATTTAAATATAATCCTAGAATACAAAAAGCTTGTAGGTAGTTTCATCACCCATTTGTTGTGTGATCTCGGGCAAAGGGGTGAGGCAATCACACCTCAGCTTCTTCATTAATGAAACAAATGATAATTACTCCTTGTAAGGTATTTGACACACCTTGTAATAACAACATACACAGAGAGGATGATTTCATTCTGTGTCAGTTCCCAACCTGCTTGTATTCACTGAGATCCAACAATGAGAAAAATCACCTTCTCGGGGAAGATGTGGATGGTTTAAACATTTAACTAAAGAACAATGAGAAACTGTTTTACAATCCAGATTTTGGGTTTCTTCTTGTGTTAAACTCACACAAAGCCCCATTCGCATTTACATTTTAGATTTCTTTTAAGCTTCTGCAAAACGTATCCTTTGAGAGTGACAGGCTGTCCAACCCCTGGGCATGGATCAATAATTAAAATGATGTGGGGTGTTGGACCAGCAGATACTTCTGCTCCCAGTAATGCAGCTTAGATTAGGTATCCAGAGGTCCCTGACCCAACCTTTCATTCACTGATGTGTGACAGCAATTTGTAAGGTATTTCCACCCAGTTTGAACCCAAATTGATTGTTGTGCTTTGAAAAAATCTGTAGCCATTCAATACAGCATCAAGTAAGTGAGACGCAGCGGAATCCAGCGAGAACAATAAGAAAATGAGAACAATCATGTTTTAAGTCCCACTTAGGTCTTCAGAAAATATTGTACATCAGTATACATCAAAAGATTTACAAAAGGAGTATAGGGATTTTGTTTGGTTTTAATTTACAGCTGCAGAAATTTGAGCATGGTACAATAAAATGACCCTAAAAGTTGTGTCTCTGCTTTCCATTCAGAAGTTTTTTGGTTTTTTCTTTGAAGTATATCACAGCCCCTTCAAGACAAATTACGTCCCTCCTCTAATATAAACGACTAAAAATCTTTAATGTGCTTTTAAAAACTCCGGAGGACTTGGGAGTATTGAAAGATCCAAACAGCTCATGTGCAGTGCCTTAAAAAGAGGCTGAAAACAGAAAAATGGTATTTGTGGAAGTTAGTATTTATTTTGAGAGTACCCACAGGAACAAGGAACAGTGGGATGTGATAAAACATTCCTGGCTTTACCTGGGTCAGCCACTGACACAGAGTCCCCACGGATTGTCTCCTATTAATTCAAGAGCCCATTGCAAACTAGTGCCAGGGCAGTTTTCTTTCCCAGCTGCTTTCTCACACCTTTCTTCCAGTATATCCCTGGGACAGGAGCTTCCTGCAGATCACTGCACAAACTACAAGACCTGTTGGACTAAAACCAGACCTGTTTTTTCACCTGGAGCCTCAGGTGTGAGGAAGCTGTATTCAAACCACAGCACCCTTTGGAAGCACTAAGCAGAATGGGAATGTTTTTTTAAAGGTGTGTACCCTGAGAAGGCGCCTGCTTTGCACAGTTCTAACCCCCACAGCAGGGCATTAACCTGTTTCAGAAGGGTTAGGGAAAGATATTTCTGCAAGAATAGGTCTTTAAAGAAAAGGGCTGTGTCATTTCTGCATCATTATTTCAGCAATACCAAAATATTTTAGTTCCAAGTCAGCGTTCCACATTTTAGGACTATACTGTAGTTTTCACAAAGTAACAGCAGCAATCAAGGTACTTTTATAGAAATGTAAAAGGCAACACAAAATATTTTACCTCAAAAGAAAACATTAACAAAGTCCTTTGTTCACCTTCAATGCTGATTCTTATTTTGGTGTTTTGTCTCCATTTTCATTTCAAAGGAAGTGTTGACAGTTTGGTTTTCATTCCAGTCTAGAGTGAAAGCAAAATTTCCAAACGTTGCTCTTTCTTTTGAAGCCCAAAGAGCAATTCCTTATCTCGTGCCAGTGGGAGGTGCAGCTGTATGGATCCCATCGTAGTTGCCTCAAGAGCAGTGGGGGAATGTTTCCAGCCTCCAGAGGGACAATCCATGGACCTGTCCTGTCCCATTCCACCTCTGGAGGGGGTGCTCAGTTTTTTACTGCTGTCGTATTTGACTGTACCTGATGAGAAGGAGAGGAGAAAAACATTCCCTGACAGTTGGCTCTGACAGTTGACAAAGTGTCAAGATTTATCCTCATATTACAGTCTCACGGTTTTTTTCAGTTAGTTGTATTTTATTCCCAGCTTGGAAAAACTGTCTTCTCCCCACAGCAACACTGACTGGAGCCACGTTTGCAAGGGAAAAACCTTGGGTCACCGGACAGTGTGATGGTGGAGGGTGTAACACACACCACCCAGATCAGACAATGTCAGCACCAGGCAGGCAACTGGTTTGGCTGAACAGACAACCTGGAAGCTTCTGTCACACAGAGGTGTCACAGCACAGTGCCAAAAAAATACAAGGAGGGAAGGGAAATGCTGCTAAATGAAATGGAGAAACAGTAAAGAGTAAAATCATTTCCTTTGGGACCAGGTTCTGATCTACGCTCACCGTAACACAACTGGAGCTGCAGCATGACACACGAGCACTCTGGGGAAAGTTAAATGTATTTGTCTCTATATCCAATATCACGCTCTCTCACTACAGTAAAACTGTAAAAGAGGAACATTTATCTCTGTTCCATGCTGTCATACCCTGTACACATAGGCTGTAACATCACTTCTAAACTCCATCACAACCAGACCCAGCACACACACACAAAATCTTGTGTTTAAAAGAAAACTAGCAAATTACAGAGCTTGCTTGAAACTTCATTTATTTGAACTGTAAGCCAAAGGAGTGTCCTCAATGAGAGATGCACTGCTTGGCCTCCTTGGGAGCTACAGCAGTCGGTGCACTTGTCAAAGGAAAACACACAAGCAATTCAACAACAGAGAAAAGGTACATTTTTTACACACACACACACACACACACAGACACACACACAGACACACACACACAGACACACACACAGAGCAGTTTCCAGTCTCCGCTGCAGGTGAAATGCTGATGAGCTCTATCCAAGCCCACCTTGTATCATCAAACAGGTAAAACCCTTCCCCCTATAGAAATGACACCACAGCTCTTTGCTGTTCAATGTGCACTGGCACCTTCCAACCCTGCACTGGGCTCAGGGGAGGGGCTCAGCAGCCCCTCACAGAAAGCCCTTGTTTATCTGTCTTCAGCCAAGTTCAAGGGAAATACAGCCAAGTGAAACCCTGAATATTTGGGGCTGGTAGAGCAAGGACAGGGTAACAGCCTGAGCTCTGCTCTGCTCAGGCAGAATGGACAGTGTCAAACACTGCTGGGTCAGGGCTCAGGCTCAGCTGACCCAGGCTCAGGGCTCGGGGCTGTACCTGCCCTTCCCATCACAGTGGGAAAGGTGATGCTTTTCCTCTGCTGCCAACACATCCCATGTGCTGCACGTTCTGTCCACGTAAAGAAATGATGACACTGCTCAAGGTGTTACATTAGTGAAGGTGTTTACGTTAAACCATTGGAAATAACCAAAATACAGGAGAGGAAGGGGAAATGATGACATAAAGTCTTTATGAGTATTTACACATCCCATTATTAAGATAAATGAAGGCTAATTAACAAGGAATTAGCCACAAGTATGAAATACAAAATTAATTAAAACTGGCTTCTAAATAAGATGAATATTACAACCAACTACTGTTAAAACTAAAATATAACATGGTTTTGGAAGATGCAATAAAATATAAATTAATAATTCTAACAACAAGAAGAAACAAAATTACATAATTGTTTTAAAACACTTTGGAGAGCTGAAATTATTGCTTTTTTCCTCAGAAAAAGCCCAGCAGGGGGGAACCTCCCCATTCTTCCTGCCAGCCGATATTACATTAACAAAAGTCCTCATGTAAAGCAAATACTTTATATATTTAATAGCTGTTGAGAACATAACACAGTTCTTCCTAAACAAAATGTAGCACCTCCTGTAAACATTAAAAGCACTGCTTTAATCTCTAACCAGTTCATATGCAATAATGCCTTTGTTTTGTAATGAATTCCACTCCTTCATTTGAATGTGCCCATGGTTGCAGGGTTCTGCTGAATCACAGCTTACACAACCACAGCCTCCGAAACTCCAGAGCCTCAGCACCGAGGCTGCAACTGTCTGGGCAGCAAGACTTTGCTCTGCAGCTTTCTGTGGCTTGGAGACACCATGGAAATGAGGAATTCGGCGTTCCCAGAATGTGACTCCTCCAGCCTCATCTGACCTGCTGTCAGCTCTACCCTGATATGAGAAAATAAAGACCAAAAAGCAAGCTAATACTTTTTACGAGCTCTCAGAACTGCTGGCCTAAAGGTTTCCCTGTCATATTATCTCTAAACTTCTTAAACCAGCATGCTCAACCTTCCTTTCTCTGCCTTCTGGTTCTGAATTCTTGAATGCTATTTGGGTTACATTTCAAACTTCTCTCTACAGGTAGAAGTCTAGTGTTCTTTAAAGTGGCAACTTAAACTTCAGTCGAATAAAAAATCCTAAGCAAAGTTGGAGAGACAGCAACATCTACATCTCAGAGCTGCCTCTGTTCTTCCCACATCAATTTACGCTGTGGTGGCAAACACGGGGAGATAAGAGATGGAGTCAGAACGACCTTGTGTAATCAAACTGGTGGATTACACTTTGCAACACACAGAGGTGCAAACACACATTTCTGTTCCCCTGCCGTGCCTGTGAGGACTGGCACAGGCCAGCACAGAACTGCCAGACCAACTGTCCCCTGCTCCAAACCCCTGTCCCTGCTCTCTGCCCAGCTGTCACACACCCAGCACGCTCACAGATGTGTCACAGACACCTTCACACTCCGGTGTTTGGGAAAAGCTTGTCAGCACTCCATCCCGTGTACAGGCTGCTATCTGGCAGCCTGGGATGCCAACAGGGCCATGTTTTCCCTCCTTTTGGGAGCTGCCACACAAGGAGAAAGGATGTGTGAGATAAAAGGGCTTTCTCTCAGAGTCTGTGCATCCTGACTTGATAGAGTAGAATCCCCAAAACTGCAATTCTTCAGAAATGCTATTTTAACTTTGGAAACACCCTTTCCCTCTTTCACACACCTCAAACATTTACCTCTAATAAATGTATGTTACATGTACAGGATGCCAATCTGTGCCAGTTTTCCTGTAATTAGGGGAAAGCTTAATTCTCTCACTCTGCTCACCCCTCTCCTACTTTGCCTGTTAGACACAAGAGCAAGCAGTTCCAAGTCATGCCTAATGTTTTTTTGCTGAACAGACTTGAAAAGTAAGATCATTTTCTCTGCTGCTTTCTTCAATCACTCGCCCACACACCCCCTCGGGGCTTACACCTAGAAAATGCCCTCTGGGAGTCTGCTCTTGGATCACTGCTCTTTAGGAGTGAGTCTGCTCTTGGATCGCTGCTCTTTAGGAGTGTCCTCACTTCCAGTTCCCCAGGGACTGGTTCCAAGCACCTTTCAGCTACTGCAATTTTAATAAGCTCTTTGTGCATATCCTAAGATGATCAGACTTTGGAAAGCTAAGCTAAATACATCATTTTAAATAAACATCAAATGCTCTTTCACTTTGAGGCTATTCATTATGATGCCAGCATAAACCTCTGGACTTCCCCATCCCTGGAAGTGTTCAAGGCCAGGCTGGATGGGGCTTGGAGCAACCTGGAATAGTGGAAAATGTCCCTGCTCATGGCAGGGGGTGGAACTGATGGGCTTTAAGGTCCCTTCCAACCCAAATCATTCTAGAATTCTGTGATTATGATTCCAGGAGTGGAAGTGCCAGGCAGAAATACATTTCCATGCCCCAGATTTCTGGCAAAGCAGGAGAGGGGAGTCAGAGGCAGCACTGGCCATCTCCCAAGGCAGGAATGGGACAACTGTTGCTGGAATACCACTGTTCCTGTGCAGTGAATAGCACTTCTAGAGGAAAATGGATCCATAGTCCCTGATTTTGTCCTCTTCGTTCACAATATTCTTAGACTGAACCTAATGCAATTCACGTTACCAAGCCAGAGAATACATTCCTAAACTGTAAGGGACTGGGGGAGCAGGACCATGACTGTAATCCATTCAGGAAAGGATTCTCCTGCTCTTCTCTGTCAGCTGAGCAGGTGCCACAGCTTCCCCTGCAGTCACCTCCCACTTCTTGTACATGGTTGTCTTATGCCTTAAGTATTTTCCTTCTACTTCCTCATGAGGAGCCCTCACAAAACTACTGAAGAGCAGATGGGAAAAATGACAATTGTTAGACAAAAAGTGCTGTAAAACACAAAGGAAACAGGCACTTCTATTCCCCTAATCTTTTTAAGTACAGGAAATCTCAGGTCCTACACATGGAGAACAGCAGGTAATACACCTTCAGACAGAAGTACCCTTTTAAGCAAATACTTTCCTTTTACTACAGTAAATTTTAACTCATCCTGTCACAGGAGTGATCTTTTCTGTAATTCAGAATTCTCATGACACTCAAGAATATTTGCCCCATCATTTCAAGAGTCCCCATGTTACAAAGCTCCAACCATAACTTCTTTGTCAAGCCTCAGAGCAGCACAACCTTTTTCCACAGTTTCAGGAAAGTTACAGGAATACAGCTGTACTTAAATACCCAAACTAAACCCAAATTAAAGTAAGACTCATCACCTCTCCCTGTTGCAACAAGAGTAAACATAGGAAGAGAAAAAAGGCCCAAGAAATAACACTTTAGGTAGGCTTCTAGGATTTCCTACTTTTTGTAATTTCAGGAGTTATTAGGAAATTGGATATGGAAATATCTTAAATCTGAGTTTCGGTAAAGGAGTTCATATTCTTCATTTATATCCTTCATTAGATGGAGTGCAAGAATTAAAAACTCTGTAAAAACAGAGCTACAATTAGTATCTGTGGTTGGCCCCCAAGTAGACAATGACACGATTTTCATACACCTTCTTCATAGTTTTCTCAATTTGCTTCAAAAATACTTGTGGAATTCTCCCACATAACGTGTGCACTGTATCCAGAAACTTTGACTGCAGAGGGTAGTACAAGGACTGGAAGAGATTGTCTTCAAATGGAAACTAAAGAAAAGGAAAAAATGAATTATTAGTTTTCACTAGATGCAAAATGGCATTTTAGAAGTTTCTGTAAGAGAAAACCTTCTATGGGTAGGGAATGACTTGTCCCTCACCTGTCCAAGGTGTCACCAAGCCCATCACTTCAAACCCTGCTTGGGAGCACCTGCTTTCAGAGAAGTTTGTCTCAGCATATTACCTGAAACAGCCAACTCCCAGAAACTGCACTTCCAGAGTGTGCATTTACAGGAGCTTTACTGACATAGGGACACTGTAAGGAAACAGTGGTTTGGGATGTGGAGCTGCACACACACCACATTCCAAGTGGACACATGCACTGTGTCTGTGTGCAAGCCTCTGCCTTCCATGTGCCTGGAGGCTCGAGGTGCTCAGGGAGGACAAACTTGCACCAGGTATTTGTAGACCAGAGCTGCTTCCCAGCAGGAAGAACTCCATTCCAAAACTCTTTTCCTATTTTCAATATTTCAGAAAAGTAGTTCATCAGCCTTTCTGATTGGAAGTTTACTATAACATGGAGAAGTGTTTAAATCACCTCAAACACACGAGAAGCCAAAGCAGCCGTGTCCTGTTGTGTCTGATGGGTTTACACAAAACACAACCACGCTCAGCCTGATCCGCCGGAAGAGCAATCCCAGCAAAGCAGGAATCTACACTGAAACACAAGGGGTGCCTGTGTGGAGGCAGCAGACTCACATCACGGATCACCTCGTAGAGTGCCTTGAACGTGGGCTGCTTGTCATCGTGGTAGACGCCCCTGTTCCCGTGCAGGATGGAGACCCCCTCCTCCTCCGCCCCTCGGCAGTTGCTGCCGTACATGCAGTGGTCGGGCCGGTAGTTCCACTGGCAGGGGAACACATAGAGACACTCTGCCCACGTCAGTCGGGGGAGAGGGAAGGCAAAAAGACAAGTCAAACAAGAGTTAGAACAAATTAAACCATATTTCTGTGAAAAGCTGGGACTGATGACCAGGAAATGTTCGGTTACTTCCTCTGCAATTATCCCAAGCAGCAGCTCCATGGAGATGCTTCCTTCCCTCAGAGGATGACTACACACACCTCAGATGTTGGTCCTGAACCAACAGACAGGGCAACACAAAGTCTGGGAGCAAACACAACCCAAGGGAGCCCTTCACAGAGCTGAAAGTGGCAGAATCAAACCCAGTGAGTACACATCAGGTGGCACTATCCGGTGTCCTCTGCCAGAGGAAAGTTTCTGGAGTGACAGGAAGGACTAGGGAAGCACACACAGTGAGGGTTACTTAAAATCCTGACTCCTTTGGAGACAGCATGGGAAAACTTGCAAAGTACATCCAGCGTTTGCTGCTGAAGCTGTCGTGGAGGCCACAATAATTTGTTACACAGCAGAGCATGAGGACTCGTGTATTTTATTCACAGCCCTCCTAAGAGTTATCACCCATTAATTTCACAGGTCTGGTTTTATTTAAAGATGAGCCTAATTCCTCAAAAGGGCTCGTAACTCGCTTTCTCCTACTGATTTTTTTTACACTCTCTCCGTGCACACAGAACCCGCAATCTGCTTGTCATAAATCACACCAGTCCCTGCGACCTTTCTGCCTCGGCTCTGGAGAACAATGAATCATGTCTGGTGCCAGCAGGTCATGGCAGAAGTGCTGAAGATTGAATTCTTCACTTGGCCTTTCCCAGCTTCCCAGAAGTCTGCAGCTGGTCCCATGTGGTCGTTGAAGAGTAGGAGAATAAGCTTCTGAACCATTTCTTCCCTTAAAGCCTTTGTAGCAGGAGAACTCTCCAGAAAGGGAGAAGAGCCCTTGGAGATGGGAAAAGGGAGCAGCTCCTCAGGCCCCAGGTAACACAGTCCTGTGTGGTTTTAACTTGCATCTATAAAAAGGTACCTGCAGCATCTTGGCCGATTCCTTTGCAGGCCAGTCTCAACGATCTAGAGCTTAAAACCTCAGAGAGTCCAGTTTTCTGTATTACTTGCATCCAGTTCTTTTTTTTCTTTTCTTGAGCAGTCTGATGTTACATAATTCACAAAAAATTATTTACCAGTTACAAGCAAAGGACTGTGGTGCAGAGGAGTCCCAACATGTGGCTTTGATAGAGAACACTCATCTCAAAATTAAGATATTCATGCAATCTTTGGTTTTTGCTGCACACTTCAGTTAGCAGCTTGAGTTTGACTTCATGACTAATCTGGCCTAATTTCTTTTTCAATTCCAGGAGACCCTAGTCCCATAACATTAATTTCTTTTGGAAATTAATTCCCACTCTATTTTTCCCTAGGTCTGAGGGTAATGTGTGGTGTAACAGGGACACTGATGTTTGACATCTGTCTGCAGTAAACAGACGTTTGCTTATTGCTTTGCTTCTGCTCACTCCTCTTATTTGCCTGGATTTGGGTATATCCAATTACCTACCCTGTGACTCCTTAGAGAAAAAGAAAAGGGAACAGAATAAATAAAGATAAATCCAAACTTGTTCCGTTCTTAAGATCACTCGAGGAAATATTGGATCACATAGGAAACAGGAAAAGCAATAAGAATGGATACTCAGCATCCATTCAAAGCATGAAATAAGGTTTTCAGCTTCTTTGGGAAGCTTGTACTATGCTCCAGTGTTTAAATCCCTGCATTTTTCACCAGCAGGATATCTATGACACTATCCTGGTGCCTGCTGAGACTGATCACTTGCCTCAGAGACTGGAAGCATCTTCCTCCAATAGTAACTTCTAGTGAAGGAGCAGAAGCAGGGAGGGCAGCAGTTTTAGACAAGATATTCCAGTGGCTGTGTCCACTTTCTGTCTATATTATCTTTGTCACTCATCTGTTACTCAAAATTCTGAACTTCAGAAAAACAGGGCATAGCTTCGGAGAAAGTTTGGCAATTTCACATTCAGGAAAACGTCTGAAACAAAAATAGTTTTGCAGCTACACCCTGGTCCAGTGATGCCCTTAAGCACACATACAACCTGAACTCCATTCCTGCATTTGATCATTAATCCTATACTTCACTGTTTTCTCAAAATCTCCAGAAAATGAATTTACACATTCAATGGAACCAAGTCCAAGTCCCACTACCTGCAGCTATGTCAGATGTATTTTCACAGGTTGTAAATCCAAGGTGCACTTACACAATAACTTCATGCCAGAGTATTTATGCAAATTATAAATAACAAATAGCACTCAAAGGAAAAATCAAGTTCAAGAGATTTTCCTAGCACAGATAATCACAACCACAAGAATCATTACTTACCTGGGTTAAAGTAAAAAATTATATTTAGTAAATCCTGGTCTCCCCATGTAATGTAATTTTTGTACTTCTGGTACAATGGATATAACATGTCCTCCCAAGTCAAACCACCTGGTATGATGCTGTTCTGCAGGGCAGAAAAACAGAAGCAAGGGGTTAATACTGTGACCAGTGCTGTGATACCTGACTCAGAGTGGGGCACACACAGATCTGTAAGTCTGCTAAGCCATATCAGACACCAGGTGAAAAACAAAGAACTGCCAGGAAATGTCAGACCTGGACAGGGCTGGAACAGCAGAGCTGACTGTGCTCCCGTTTGCCTAAACAGGGAAACAAGGTCTCCTGGGTCCAGCTCTGATGTCAGCTCCTGCTGGTCACAATCTTCCTATTCTGAGCAACAGGAGGGGAAAAATGTGGAAAAGTGGAAAAACGCAGAGATGAGGTGAAAACCAAGTTATAAAACCAAGGAAAAACACAGTCTAAGGATCATCTTCCCTGGGAATTATGGTATTAAGAGCAATGTGTTTTTTGTCACTCCAGCTGTTCTTGCAGTGGTGTGTGAAACCCCTGGCCTTGCATGAGGAACCACTTGGGGTGAGCAGAGTTTTAGTGATTTCAGAGTATGTGCTCAATGAAACCAAAACCTCTTTCACAGAAGAGGGGAGATGTCAATGAAAGTGCTCCCTTCTCACATCAGTTCACGGAGCCACTTATCTGCAGCAGGATACAAAAGTCTGTTTACAGCAGATGCAAAAATTACCAATTTCTCTGGATTTTCACATCAAGCTTTCCAATTTTAAAAACAATACAGTGACTGCACTGAAGATCCTTGAGTTTATCTTTTAATATGTTTTCAAGGGAAGGTAAGCTGTTGAAGAAGGCATTTTGCTTCAGCTGCAGGTTCTCACCGCTCCATCCCCTTGAGGAAGTTTCACCTGTTTTAACAACCGCGTTCACCAGTTGCCTTTAGCATGCAATCATATAAATTCCATATTTCTCCGATTCTTTATATGACAAACCTTATATAATTTCACACTAAGTTTTCCAAGACGTGAAAAATACATAAAACCCAAGCTCCTGCAGCAGCTGCATTTCTTCTCACCTTGAACTGCGTGCTGCGGATCCGCGTTAAATTCATCAGCATCACCCCGGAGTTGACTCCGGTTGTCCCGTAATAAGGGTGACGCGCAAAGCGGCTGTACCAGCCAATCTTTGGGATCTCGTGTTCCGGGGCCATGGCAGCCAGCTGCGTGGAGTTGAACTCCTTCAGGACGTGCCAGATGTCATCGATGGGCCTCAGGAAGAGAACGTCAGTGTCCACGTAAAGGAGGGAATCCACATCCTTCAGGATGACCTTTCGGGTTTGCGCGGCGAGGAGAGGAAGAGACGGGAAAGAAATCAAAGAGGCAACAAACAGGAGGATTATTAGCAAAAAGTGCTTTTCCTTTAAATCAATAACCTCTTCCAAATTATCAGTTTATCAGCTAAACGTAATTACACAGAGGAACAACAGTTATCAGGTTATTGTCTTGTTGTTTGTTGTGGTTTGTTTTTTCTTTAATCTGCACAGTAAAACAGCTACCGGAGCACAAAGGTTGGATTAACCTTCATATGAAACAGCAACACACTGAGCTCTCAAAAATACCTGCAAGGACTATTTAGTATCAGTTCAGAAATAGGATGTAAATAATGTCTATATACAGAGCTTTGTCAGCTCTTTTCAAGATCTGTAAGTGGTGAAGCATAGAGTGTTCTCCACAGACCAAAAGGGTAACCCAGGAGAGCAGAATACTTTCCATCTCCATTTTGTATCATGTTTCCTTATGCCTTTCTAGAGACTGTTTTTCCTATTCCAACCTTGTGCTACCGACAGACTTGCATTCAGTATTAATATATTTGTTTCACATTAATTAAGACAACCCCATCAATCACAAATGTACGTGCATCCTCCTGAAGAGCAAAATTTGCTTGCTGAACAGAAGTGTCGCACTAAAACTCACCAGGGTCAGGTTCTGACCTCTGTTACCAGACTCCATCAGGAATTACCACAGTGAGGTTGGTCAGGTGAGAAGGGTGTGAACTGCAGATTGGAGGCAGGACATTTAATCTATTCCTGCTGACCATGTTCCCCCTTGTGGCTACCCAAATCCTTACACACTCGATCATGAATGCCAGTGGGGCAAATCAGGATGTGCTTCAACAGTCCAAGGAAACTGTCTGGATGTTTGCACCTGCTGTTGGTAAGGTCATTTGACAAATAATAAAGATCATTACCTACAGCTGGCCACCAGTTCAACTGCATGTTTGCTGCTCTTCTTATTTGCTAAAACTGTCCAAAAAATTCCTGAAGGACTGAAATTTTCTTACTTTGGTCTCAACCAAAAGCCCTATTTCTCTCTCTCTCTTTTGCTCTGAAAAGAAAACCCAAAAGGCTTCAGATTTTCACCAGGGTGTGGAACACAACAATCACTCTCTCCTCCAACTGCAATGATATTAATCACAAGCCCTCCTGTTTATGCAGGTTACAATAAATTCTATCAAAGAAATTGGATTTTACATAAATTCAAACATATTGTGACTGAGGATTACCCTTGAAATAGAGAGAACAACATTAAGATTTTCAACAAGTGGGTGAAAAGTATCACCTCCAAGAACACTCAACAGGCATCCACTGAGATGTCAAATCTGTGAGGATGGACTTAAACGAGATTTTTCACCTGACTAAACACTTGAGGATTCAGACTGACATTTAGTCAAGTTTAACAAATCCCTGACCTGCATTTCTGACAGGATAATGACACGTTCTTCCTACAGAACAGGACAAGCAGGAGAAGGAAGTGTCTCTGCATTTTAAACCAAAGTTACACTTACAACAAACTCCAAGTAAACACATCATACACAATTCAGATCACTCTGCTGGATGGAATGTTACAGCAATACACCGTTTTCCCACAAAAAACCACAAACCAGCACGTGGAGGTATCAATAAATGACACAAAGAGTTCAATAACACACTAAGAGCTCAGAGTAAATATTTGCAGATGTTAAGTATCCCTGAGTCCAATCCTAAAGACAAAACCAATAAAAAAGACAGCTACTGTAAATCAATAAAAGGCAAACAACTGAAAAGAAGAAAGAGTTTTCAGTTTAAGGATATCCTGGATATTGTGTATTAATTATTCTGCAACACCTGCAAGCCCTAATTCATAGGGACCTACTATATGAAGTCACATAAAATAAAAATATATTAAAAAAAGAAAAATCACCCCAAAATTTAGTCTGAGGCAGGAGATTACACAAGAACACACAGAGAGCAAAAGCTATTAGACTTTGCCTGTGGGATCCACACTGTAGACCATGTAAGATTTTTTTTCTAATGGGGGAGCTGGTAGAGAGACAAGTTTAGGTATTTTCCAGTAGGAAAAACTTCCCCCAGTAAAGGGAGAAGTTTAACAGGTGCCTATAGACACTCCTCACTCCTGCCATGCAGAATTGACAACCCAGGCACTGCCTCTTCCAGCAGAAAAATGCTCTTTCAGCAGCCTTCAAGATATAAATCAATGTAAGTCTGTGGAAGTCAATGGATTGTAATAATTTTCCTATGGATTCAAGCAGGTATTTCAGTGCTTGGTGCAGTGGGTGCCTACCAGCACCTGACCCCAGCTTGTATTCCTCCTCTCAGGGTTCACACACTCTCCTTGCTGGTTCATAAAAAGACTCTTCCCTCTCCTGTGTCTGAGGTTTTGCCCTGCAGGACACCCAACAGGCTGAAAAAAAAAAAGCTGTACTACCTCCTTTAAGACTTTCACACTTTTCTCTTTCACATGTGGAGTGTTAAGACTCATTTAAAACCTGGAGATGTGAGTTTGAGTTGCTCACATGCTTCCTGGCTGTGCCTTGGGGAGGGGGGGGATTTAATGTCCCCAACTGGGGTTGTGACAGTTCCTCACCTCACAGGAACTGCAGTGCAGCTTAAAAACTACACATGGCTGACCTGGAGCAGGAGCCACACCAGACTGTGTCTGCAGGTCTGAGCTCACTCAAACCATGCAGACACACCTGACAGACCAGGATTTTGGGAAGGAATGGCCAGGAACACGCCTTGACTGTGCTTGTCTTCCCCCTCGCTCTGCAGGCACTTACAGCTTAAAAGAAGTGTGATTTTTTTTTTTTTTTGCTTTGCAGCTATACAGAGTATTCTTGATAAATCTGTCAAAAAGTTCTGCACAGAACTGGCTATATTTAGCCTGGCACTTCACTTAAATACTCAGTTATCTGTAATTTGATTTCACAACTTCTGTCTCCATAGATTCTCCCTGTGTTAGCAAGGTTAGCAAGGAATAACACACTCCTGGGTAAACATGCTGGAGTACTGTGAAGCTGTACAAACCTAAGGGTTTGTGAGGGCTGGCATGGCAGCCTGTCCCAGCTTTATCCAAAATTAGGGACAAATCACAGAGCTTGATGCTAATGTAACAGTACCACACAGCTGAGTTAGTAAACTTAGTTGTAGTAAGCAATTAACTCAAATTACAACAGAGACCTTTGTATAGATAATGCCCTGGTATCTATTCCCAGTGCTGCCACCAATCCACAGAGCTGGATACTTGAGCACCCTCAAGAGGAAAGCTATAACACAGGGATATTGCTAATCTACCTTAAAAGCTCTTTAAGTAGATTAAGTGTTTTGAGAAGGGTTCTAAATGTTCATCCAAAAATCATCTGAAAATCCCTTAAGCATTTCAGGATACTTTAGCTGATTGTTTTGGTAGCTCCAGACCAGCAGCAGGGTGACAGCTGCTGCCAGCTCTGCAGGACCAACATCCCTGGGAGCAGAGAACGTTCTTCACCCGCTGTCTTAACATCCATGTCAGTAGAACAAACCAGTTTCAGGTGACTGGTGAGAGCAGCAATAAACTCCTAGTTTATTGTTACAGTTTCATTTTGTGCTCATGAAAAGATTTCCATTCTCCCAACTTTGTCTTTACAAATGCCCTGGATGGTTTTACTGCAGCGAACTGCAGCAAAAGATTGGGGCTTGTGAGATTACACGGAGGCTCAACCTGCATTATCTGCATCTAAGTGGCTAAACATGATCAGATGTCACAGAATGCCTCTAAAAATGCAGGATCCTGTACAATCTTCCATAGTATTTTAGCATCCAAGGTAGATTTAACAAGCTGGGAATGTGCACCTCAACCTGTTACCCAGGACAGAACAGTTTCTTACTGCAAATGCAGGGTCACCTCCCACAGCTCCAGATTTATCAGTGAGTAAAACCACTGAAAAGTTCTTACCCAATATTCCCTTAACACATTCCTCATACCCTCCTGTCCCCTTTCACACGCCTGCTGGTGCTGCAGCAGAGATTTCTTTGGCAGGAGAGGCACTTGTGAATCAAAGACTCACATTCCACTCGGGCTTAGCATTATCAGGAGCAAGACAATTTGCACAACTGAGAGCTAAACAGCTGATAAACTCAACTACTGCTCCCCTGGGGTCCTCCAGGCACATTTTATGCTGCTGCAGGGGAAAATGCTCAGTACAGGGAAGGATAAGAAAAAAATTACACTGACATCCTGCTGGTATTTATTTAAAATAAAAGTAAAAATAGTTATCTAAAGAATAACACTTGGAACCCTCTGCTCCTGCTGTGTGCAGGCAGTTCAGCTGGGATGTCAGAACCCAGTTATCAAGCACCAAAACAAAAATAATGACGGCTGAAATTGCCCAGAAACAGCCCAAGGTTCTGTCAGCCTGCAAGCTCGAGTACCAAAGCCCAACTGGACACTTGCCACCTCAGCTTGTTTTCTTTACTATATCCACATGGACTCGGTGTCAGCTGCAGCTCCTCCAGGATAACCCCTCCTATTCAAAGACATAAACCTCAGCCTGACCACACACAACATTTTGCAACTGCCCCAAGAGACACAAACATTTACAGTCCAGGCCGCCTCCTTGTTTTGCTAAGACAACGTGCAACAGTCCAATATTCTTTACAAAAAGTTACTGGAGAACTTTGGCAACATGTGAGTGACAAAAAGGAATCCGTAAAAGCACTGCCCAGCCTGAAGGAATCAGCATAAACCCCTTTCTCTAATCAAAAGGGTGATGACAAACGAAAAGTGAAACCATAAGCACTCTTGTGTTAGTTCACCAAAATAACAGAAAATACCACAGAAATAAGAAGAGAAGAGATTTGTGTTTACCCAGCACATCCTGACAAACACTCTGTATTGAACAAGCGAATGCTCAGGGATTATTTCCCAGGTGATACAAATATTTACTCAGGGAATAGAGGATCCCTGCTGAAGTTGGAGTTACTTTCAGCCCATCTGGCCTTTGTGCAGTTGATAGTCCACCCCTAAATGGCAGATCAACAGAACTGCTGACAGCACATATTTTCTCACATATGTATTCATAGGCTACGTATCTGGACGTGCAGCTGTCTCCTGATTGCTTCCATCTGACAGAGTAAAGATTTCTTTGTCCCCCCCCCCATGTCTCATAAGACAGTAATGAAGAAATCTGGACCATATGAACAGCTTGTCACTTCACTGGAGTCACCCCAATAAACAGCAACACACAAAATACTTTTGATAGATGTTCTCAGTTCCACAGAAACTGCTTTATGCAAAAGTTCTTTCCATTTCTGAGATGCAAAATTGTTATCAACACTTTCCTTCTCTCCAGCAACCTTCACTATTTTCCAAGTTTCTGACACTAGGTATTATATAGTAAATAACACAACTTTTCAGTGAACTTGAAGATCCCAGGACACACAAAGCTCTTGCACAAAATCTAACTTTGAGCACACTGGAATTAATACCTTAAGGTATTAATTAAATACCTTAAGGGTAATTCTGACAGTCTTGGAAAAAGAAATAAAACTCAAGGAAAAGGGATTACTGAGAGCATCAGTTTAAGGGCTAACATATGGAAGGGAAGATGGTGTGAGGAGAGGACACGTTGAAAAGAATGTTATTTACACAATGCATGCAGCATCTACCCCAGAAGGTCTGCCCTGAGAGAGCTCTCACACTTTCTCTGGAGGATCTGGAGAGCCCGAGAGGCTCATGGAACTGGAGACAAATCAGAAACACACATCCTTTGTTAGCCGAGAAACAGCCAGGCTGGGTTTCTGTGTTGTTTTTTACAGAGTCTAAAGCACAAACCAAAATATCTTGAAGCAGCTGTTTCGGCCTCAAAACGGTTTTAATGTTGCACCAGCAAAGCTTCCTTTCTGTGGAATTAACCTTTTCCTGAAGCAACCTCCTCAGAAATCCAGGTGCCTTACCGGGAGAAACAGGCGCTGGGCAGCACATGGTTTGAATAACTTCTTCCATTCCTGAGCATTTCCTACTGAGAAGGTTATTGGGTAAATGTTGGATTCAAACTTCTTTGTATACGAGGAAGGCCACTCCTTTAACTGAAAGACACGATGGGAGGAATCAGACACTACATGTTATACAGTTTTTTAAAAAAACTGAGCTTGCATAAGGAATTTATAACTGTGTACAGTAAACAACGAGCTCGGCTGCTACTTGTTGATGTCCGTGTAATTCTTCTCAGAGATTTGCAACTCATAACTAGCACGTTTATTTATTTATTTACCAAATGAAAAAGAAACTCACCTTCTTCTCAAATTCAGGCTTAAGGGAATCCTCAGCAAAAATGTGAAAGCAGAGTCTCCTGCTGCTGAAGAGAACCGCTGATTTCAGCATGATCAGCGTCTCCTCCAGCCGGTCCCCACATGCCACCACTGCCAGATGCATGCACTGCAAGGATGAAGGCTCCTTTGGATGTTTCTGTTCCCCAGGCTTCCTGAAAATTCAGAAATAGGCATATAAAAATTACTGAGGCAAACATGAAGAGAATCCCGCATTAACAGACAGCAGGGTTTTTTCCTTGCCTTTCCTTGTGTAAGGGGTCAGGAGTTTTTTTGTGGTTAGATACCCACAGAACATGCACTGGCACACTCATTTTTGTCAATGGTACAGATCAACAGCGTCACAATTATAACACAAAGAAATTTGCTGTTTTCAGAAATTTTCTGTTATTCCTACATTTCTGGATTTGCATAAATCACTGCACTACAGACACAGATGAAACGAATTCCACAGCACCTCAAACCAGACACCACCTTGCTCTGTGCAAGTGACAGCTCCTTTCCCAGCCCAGAGGTCAGGAAGCCAGAACAGAGTTACTGCTACCCAGCCAAATTTCTAACACGTTGCAGATCACACAACTGCATCCAGCAACTTCATTCCCAGGCTTATAATGGCTAGACTGGAAGAAGACATCCATACTTTAAAAAAAACTCCACTCTATCCATATGTAAATTGTTCTAACAGTTAATTCATTTTGCTATTAAAGATGCATGCCTTAATCCTGGCCTGAAGGCACTGGCACAGTTTCAAAGGACTGCTCTCTATTTCACCCCATGGAATCGCTGAGATTTGGTAAAATAGAGAATTTTGAAAACAAACATATTCCCACGTCCCAGATGAGTCAGACTATATTCCACAAGTGGTCAAGGGGCAAACTATGGGGTTTTCACTTAGCATCCACCTGTGTGGGATTTATATACATTTCAGCCAGACTACAGGGGAATATGCACGTAAAAGGCACATTGTACCTGCTGGCCAGAAAAATCAGGGCTCTCCTGGGGAGTTGAAGACGTTTTGAAAACACAGCCTTTTGGTTCTGTGTGTCCCCCACTTCAGTGTGGAGCTAAAAACTGTGTCCCCCAGGAATGTTTCTACCATGTTGTATTCACATTCTAACACAGATGGCACTTATATTACATGGGATGAGCTGACCAAGGAACTAAATTAGAAGCACAGTAATCACTCTTGGAGAGTTCAAAAGGCAAATCATAGATCACTGCCTTTTCTGGACATATCTCTGAGCAGAGGACATCAATCCTGGCCCCTTCACAGCACACGTAATTACATACACACAATTAATCAGTAAAGTTAATAGTACAAACAGAAGTTCTAAATAAAGAGAAAAATGACAGTTATAAAGCTGTTATTTTTTCTTACAGACATTAGAATGCTGCTTTGTGAAACAGCAGAGTTCTGTCTTACAGAGTAACTCACCTCTGTGTAAAGGAACACCATCTACTGGCACTTTACTGACTATCCAAAGCAACATATTTTATTAAGGGTTTAAAGTCTTCTGCTTTAGTCTTAATTAACCCCCAATTTCATCAATGTATAAATAATGGAATACTACATCTATGTGAAGTGGTATTTACTTTCCAACCTATTAGTGTAAAATCCACTGAATTATTGAAGTGAATAATTAGCTGCTCACACAGATCACCTTTTCCCCCTTCTCCCTATCTGTTTAATGTTTCCTCTTAATTGAGTCTCTAAATCAAGCCATAGGCAGGCTGGGAGCTGCTTTGATGTAGCTTGTGGCAATGGAATTCACTGGGAGAGGGACTAAACTACACTTTTATTGCAACATTTCAAAACCCAACACCACAACACTCAGCTTTGCTGTGCAGTTTTAGCCACCAGCTCTCCATTATGCAGCTATTTTGAAGTGAAAAATCCAGTGTGTGTGTAGACAAGCACTTCCAATGGACAGACTCAGCAGAAGCAACCCTTGACAAAAGCAGAATTCCCAGTAAGCCCATGGGAGTATGGATAACAAGAGACAGCAAGTGGAGGAGAAAGCTGAGCCTTGGAGGTAAGGAATTATCAGTTGCAAAGGGGGTCAGGAGCCTGTAATGGCTTAGGGGGGAATAAAAATCCCTCAGAAAAGGGGCACAAGGTAGTACTTGAACTATGCCAGTAACAGTCTGGGACACTGAGGGCAACAGTTAGTGAGGAAAGTCACAAAGAGGTACAGAAGAACTTTGGAACACAACATTTTGCATATTTTTTATAAGTACACAAAGAAAACTAGAGGATTGTGGAAACGAAGGTGAGCTGGAACAAGAGATAAAGTGCCACAGCAGGATGCATTTGACTACAATTTTAACCTAGCCCTTAAAAAGTAACAATTATCATCCATAAGTCTGAGGAGAGGAAGGTGTAAAGGCAAAGTCGAACTGCCAGGAAGGCAAATGAGCAGATCACAGCAAAGGACACCACAGCTCCCCCTCCCTCCTCTGTTCATCCACACACCTACACACAGTGCAAGGAGCAATGGAAGGGACAGGGAGAAATATCAGCTGGCTGAAAGGATATTCCTTAAGGATGTGCAGGATACAGCCACCTGTACAACAGGAACAGCTGATAGAGCAGTAACAGTTCCCCACCTCAAGAGAGTCCCAAGCACATTAAAAAGCCCATAGATCCACACTAGCCAATTCTTCCTAACAGTTATATGCACATTCATCCATCTATACTCCAACTTGTTGGTTATGAATAGAGCCTACAATCGGATTTTATAACATAAATTAAAGGTTTAAATGCATCTAAATCAATACAGTGACCTGGGCCTTGAAGTTTAATGTGTTTGACAAAAACAAATAAAGAAACTAAGATTAAGCTCTACAGAAAGCATCACAAAATACAGACTTGATAAGATGGTGCACAATAAAATGTTTATAGCAAAGACCTCCCAACAACACAGAGCAGCTCCCATCCAGTTGTTCACTGGTATTTTATTTACTGCCTACATTTTTTCAGGCAGGCACTGACACAGCAGGAGCAGCCTGAGTGCTCAAGCACAACAGTGTACATTTCTAGGTCTTAAAGTTTAGATTACATGTAATTTTCTTATTAGTCACAGTCAAAGTGTCTCAAACATAATTAACCCAAAACCTGTCTAAATCAATCCAAATCCATTCAAAATAATGCATTCCCATCTCATTACAGAGCCTGCTAATCTATTCAAGCCTTCAAATTTATTCCTGAGAGGAAGATAATGCATGCAGATTCTTACAAAATGCAATATAGTTGTTAATTTTTGAAACCTTCTTCATATTATGATCTCATTTACTGTTGCAGCACAAACAAGGTTCGATTTAGGCGTTGTATCCAAACTGGTGATTCACTGAACAGGCTCCTTCCCTGACAGTCACCCTGAGTCAATGTCCCAACAGCAGCTCCATGATATGAAACACATTTTCTTACACACTTTAAAATATAAATTAGAAAGGCTCTAAATGTTTTGAAACAAAGTTTTCTCACTTCAGTGGAGTTGCACAAAACCAACTGTAGCTGCTGATAATCAAAAAATCGAAGTTTCAACCTCCTCTTACTGCTCAGAGAGAGGGGAAAGCAACACTCAAAACCAGAATGGGTGTTTCTGCCTCCTGTTATCAAGTGAGTTCTTTGTGAAACAAGTATTAAATACTTGAGGCTTCAGCATGTTATTACCAAACTCAAGCCAAACTTGTATGTGTGTGTACACAGGCTGCAAAGGGAGAAAAAGTGTCTTGACAGGTTGCCATGCAAGAGATGTTTTGCTTTGGAAAAGTTACTTTCAGGGAACTAAATGTGCTGGCAAAGGTTCCCTTCCTGAGCCTTGCCACACTGGTTTAATAGAGAGCATGGTCACATCTGCCCCTCAAATGTAAAATAACCCTTCTGCTTTTGGATACTTTGCACACACTGGTTTGGCACATACTTAAAATTCCTCATATAAAAAATGTCTTACTGAAAGCCTAGGACTTGCTACTTCCTATATGAAGGAGCAGTAAAACCACCATCAAAAATCAGTTTTCAAAGCTAAACAGAAACTTAAATGCAATGCTCACCTAGATTTGCCAAAATTATCTAAAGGCCAAAGCAGGACCCATGAACGTCACTGATAACATTTGCTAAGTACCAGCCAGTTAATGATATGGGCATACACGAAGCTTTTTTCATGTATAACTACTTATGTTAGAATAAATCTGTACTTAAAACCTAAAAACTGATGTCTTCTGTCATTATGTGAACTATAGAAAGCAGTATTACAAATCCCAGCTAAAATACAATTCACCTTCCCTGCAAGGTGCTGATTCTCTTAAAGCAAACACATCCTAGAAAATGCCTTTGGTTTCTGAGCTCAGCCCAAAACCTGCATCCTCTGACCAAACTACACAAACCAACTTGGCAAAACTGAATTGAAACAACTTTTTACATTCACACAGACAAAACTTCCCTAAGGTTCTGTGAATCGATTATGCAGTCTCCTATAAGCACGTGCACTGGGATCACATCACAGGATCTTGGCCTGTCTCTTATGCTCCAAGTTCAAGCCCCTCACACTCCTTTCAGTCTCGCCTGGATCAGGATTTTTAAGCCCAGCAGATCCTACCACCTGCTGCCTTCCCAAGAATTCAGGCACCACCTCCACTTGGAACAGGTTATGTCACACCTGCCTCACAAAAATTCCTTTTATGGAGACTCTCACCCAAATAAATTAAATCAACCCAGCATCCTTCAGCAAGGGGCAGAACTGGACCCACAGAACTGTGCTTCTCAGTTATACAAACTGCTGGGGCCAATGGTGCAGGATCATGAGGGAAAAAACAACAATCAAACCCCATAAGCAAACAACATTTTGAAGAAAAGGCATGGTTTGAATACAAAATTCCTCTTTTGTTGTTTGTTGCTGTGTTGCAGACCTTGTAAAAAGTACTTGCAAAGTCAATAAATAATCGAAAAGTTAGATAATGTCAAAGTTTGAAACATGAAGATGCTACTGAGAAGCTCATTGAAATGGAACAGTTGTTTACACTCTCTGGCAGTTCCATACTTTCAGGGCTCCCTTCTTCAGTGTTCTTCTTGATTTCCATGATAATCACAGAGATATGCCTTAAAGAAAAATGACTTCAGGAGGTACAGTTGCTAGTGGAAATAATCCTGCTTTAATACAGGCATTTGGATTCTGCCCGTGACCCATTCTCAGCCCCAGTAAACATCTCCTGCATTCAGTGGGGTAACAATGCTGGTGAGAAACCAACTGCTTTAATAAGTTAAGGGGTAAGAGCTCAAAAAACAGGAATAGTCTTTCATTCAGAACATCCCTGTGAAATCATGAATCAAAGACACAAAGACATACCAAGTTAATTAGATATATGAGGTCACACTGACCATAATATAATTGGAATGCAAAGGGGAAAACAGTCCTCCACCCACCGAAAGCTGCCAGGGTCTCTTTCTGAACTAATTGGGGTTTTTTAAATACTTTGCCTGTAAGGTGCTGGGAGAGGAAATACAACACACCAGGACTGCAAACTTTTTTTAGAAGTTATGCATAATGAATTTACACAGAAAAAGCATTCAAAACAAAAAGCTGGAGAGCTCAAAATGCACTGGTGCCTCCGCAGTTTGGAACCCAGTGGTATCACACAGCAACAACCAGGCACCTTCCCTAAGGAGAAATCCGCAGAAGCGAAGCTCCCGAGGTGACAGCAGCTCCTCATTCCAGCCAGCGAGTACCTCACTGCCCCTGTCAGCCTTCGAAACAGGGCCAAAACTAACGGCAAAGCAGCTATTTCAGAAGCTGAGCTCGCCCAGCCTTGCAAAGGAGGGGACCCGCTGCTCGGACCGAGGGACCGCCGGCGGAGCCAAACCCTCCACGCACCTTCGCGGCGTCTCTGGCAACTGCGCTGCGAGTGGAAACCACGCAGGGAAAAGTTTATACTTCCAAACCAGCGCAGTTTTTGCACAAGGGTCTCCCATCGCCGGTCACTCGCGGAGGCGACGGGAAAACACCTGGGGAGAGGGAAGCGCTGGAAGCACCGGCGGCAGCGAGAAGGGACCGGCCGGGGGGACCCGCGTGGGGTCACGCGTGGGGCTGGGCACGGCCGGCACAGGGGGGGTTCCGCGGGCAGGGGCCGGGGGACGGGGCCGCCCCCGTTACCTGTGGCCGGCGGTGCCGCCGCTCCGGCGCGGGGGGCTCCGGCCGAGGCGCGGCGGGCGGCG